TAGGTTATGTTAATTACCCCCTCAATTTCAACCTCAGTCCCAGATGAAATTCTGTTTCTGAAGACCAAATGGTAAAGTTAACCGCAAATAGAAAACACTTGTAGGGGGTGGGGGAGGGATGGACTGGGCGTTTGGGATTAGTAGATGCAAACTATTATGTATAGAATGAATAAACAAGGTCCTACTGCATAGCACAGGGATCTATATTCAATATACTGGGATAAACCATAATGGAAAAGAGTATAAAAATGAATGCATATGTGTGTATAACAGAGTCACTTTGCTATACAGCAGGAATTAACACAACATTGTAAATGAACTATACTTCAAAAAAAAAAAATTAAAAAAACACTTGGGGCTTCCCTGGTGGCACAGTTGTTGAGAGTACGCCTGCCGATGCAGGGGACGCGGGTTCATGCCCCTGTCCAGGAAGATCCCACATGCCGCGGAGCGGCTGGGCCCGTGAGCCATGGCCGCTGAGCCTTGCGTCCGGAGCCTGTGCTCCGCAACGGGAGAGGCCACAACAGTGAGAGGCCCGCGTACCTCAAAAAAAAAAAAAAAAAAGAGCAAGATGGAAGCTACTTTTTTGTAGCACCTAGCTTCAGAAGGTACCTGCCATCATTTCCATAGTATTAGTATCTATTTGTTATATGGGTCAGCTCTCTCCAGTGTGGAAGAGGACACACAAGCTTATGAATACCAGGAGGTGAGGATTTGGGGGCACCATCTTGGAGGCTGGCTATTGCAACCATGTGTTCCATGTTTCTTTTGACATCAGCCAGAACCTCAATTTGTTCTCTAATTGGTGAAGCAACACAAACCTTCATTCCTGAAGTGTTTGAATACACCGTGGTTCTGCCTTTCTTTGTTTGTAGTGGTTTTTTATTAACTTTTACTATCAGATATAGAAGTAATAAGAGGCATCTTAGAGACTCTCCTCAGTTCCAGAAATAGTCCTCTCTACTCTCAGCCTGTAGCAGGAATCTAATTTGCTCTTTGAAATTGGGATCAACTATCCCAGCCAGTAGAGTAACTCTCTTCTCTGCCTGTTGGTTCAGAGGCATAAGAAAGAAACCCCCAAATGACTTGGTGGCAGTCTCATCTTCCAAATGAATGGAATTATTGTTGCACCCTTGGTAGGAGCATTTTACCCTTAGAAACAAGACGTCCAAGCCAGCAGAGCTCAAAGTTGTGAGGGGAGGAAGCAAAAATTCTCTGAGTGGGTTATAAAATGTAATAGTGAGAGGATCTCCTCCCATTTCTATGCTGGACCCATGTATTCTAGATATGGAAGAGACATACCATATATTGACCTCTGGTTCAAAGTTTATACTGCATCTTGTAAGAGAATATCCATCCTTTCAAGGTGTTGTCTCCAAACTGGCATTACTTACATAATGATGTATTATAGCAAGACCATTTAATACCACAAATTCCTTGATTAGAAGCAGTGTTGGCAGAATACCATGATGGCAAACAGGCATTTTGTTAAGTGATACTGACAGATGCATTATGGGAAAGAAAAGAAAACTCATATACAGAACAGACTCTGTTCCATTAAGGATAAATTTCTATTCCCTCCATGATGGAAAGAATCCAGTGTAATCAACCTGCCAGCAGGTGGCTGACGGGTTCCTTTCCCCTCCCCACCAGAATGGTGCCATACTGTGGGCTGTGTTGTTCTCAGCAGTAGTGATAACTAGGTCAGGGATGTTGTTGAAGCCCATGCATAGTCCCCCTTTTGTCACTATAGCCACTTTTTTCATGGGCCCAGTGAACAAGCACTCAGCGGCGGGAAAAGACATCTAACTGACATCTATAGAAAGTGCCATTCTGTCCACCTGATTTTTGAGAGCCTCCTCTGCAGTGAATGCCTATTGATGGATTTTCACATGCGACACAATTATCTTCATGCTTTGTGCCCATTCTAAAAGATCCATCTATATACTTTTTCACCACACATCTTTCTCACAAACCTTCCAATCCTATTCTTTCCAAGTCCCTAACTTGACTAACACGTTTGTAGTACTTGCACCTTCCTGCTCATCAGAGTCAATCTGCGTAATCCCATCAATGTAGTGGGTCAGTGTGACATTGTGTGGAATATCAAGATGCTCATGATCTCCACAGACTATACTATGGCTGAAGGCAAATGAGCTGACTTAGCACGAAACAAGACTGTAAAGGTATACTATTGACCCTGTCAAGGAAAAACAAACTGATTTTTGGTGGTGGTCCTAGCAAATTGTTAAAAATTGAAGGAGAAAAAAAAAAAAAAAGGATTTTCCACATGAGGTGCCAGGAGCTGTGTTGATTTGTTCCAGCAAAGATATTACATCTGGAAGAGGTCCTGCAAATGAGTTACCCTCTGATTAACATTAAAATAATCTAGTCATGCTTCAAGACCCATCTGCCTTCTGCACAGACCAAATAGATGTGTTAAATGGAGATGAAATAAGAGTCAACATTTCTGCATCATTCAAGTATTTGGTGATGGTAGTAATCCCTGCAATCCCTCCAAAGATGTCTTATTCTTTTGGTTTACTATCCTGGTAGGGAAGAGAAATTCCAATAGCTTCCCTTTGACCCTTCATACTCTAATGACCCTTCATAAATGAGAGAGCTAATACAGGGACACAATCAGTTGCCTAGTATGTCTTTAAGTTGCACATTCTGGAACTGGAGAAAAAACACAGGGTGGGCTCACGGACCTACTGTGATTCAAACTTGGCATGTATCTCAATTTATCACCTGACCACCATAAAACTCCATTTTGAATGTTGGACCAGTTGCATTTTGAAACCCTAGCAATCAGCATCAATTCAGAGTCAGGGTGTAGTAATCTCCAAAAGTTCTGGATATTTCTATTCCCCAAAGCACATTCACTGTAGAAAATGGCCACAGGTCCCTTTGGGGAAGGCTTCACGCGGGCTCAGTAGTTGTGGCTCGCGGGCTCTAGAGCGCAGGCTTAGTAGTTGTGGCGCACAGGCCTAGTTGCTCCGCGGCAGGTGGGATCTTCCTGGACTAGGGCTCAAACCCATGTCCCCTGCATTCTTAACCACTGCGCCACCAGGGAAGTCCCTGCATTTTATTTTTTATATTTTAACTTAAAAATTACTATTTTATAAAAGTGAGTTGACTTTTCCAGCTCTCCAGTTTGGACTCTAATAATAGGCAATCAAATAGCACTGAATAAATATAAACCTTGTTAAAAATACCTAAAATTTGTGCATTTGAGGATACTGAAACAAGGATCATCAGTGTACATTTCACTTGCTTTATCACTTCATCTACATTTGATTTGCTAATCTTAACTCTTGTCATGTTTGAAAAGTTATTTCTCCTCACAAGAACTACAGAACTATATTCACTTTTTTCCAGTACCTTTGCTTTCCTTTGAAAAAAATGTTCCTACCATTAAGAATTTAAACCAGAATCATGAAATGACAATAGAAAACACTCATCTGGCTTGACAGGTAATATAGCCTGTGTGGTCCTCCTGGTGTAAAGCTAAAATTCCACCTTCCACCAAAAAAGCACCTCTTGAATTCAACTGAGAATGACATTTCTACAGGAATAAATTTGAATTTTCTCATATTTAAGAAGTTATTTATTTTAGCCATAAATAAGAACTTATTCGTGAAGTACTTCATACATGATCATGATATTCTAAGGATACAGATTAGAAACACTATTTGAAGGTATCACAGGCAGCTGAAAGTCAGGAGCTACTGAACAATCTGACAACTTTACACTTCAAACTTACAGGGCTACTTTAATTTTGGCCTGAAGGATGATTAAAACAATTGGGGAGGGGGCCGAAAAAGAAAAGCTTGATTATTCAATTCCTAATTGAATTAACCCTTTAGACAGTTTTTTAAAAATTTATTTTTGGCTGCGTTGGGTCTTTGCTGCTGCATGCAGGCTTTCTCTAGTTGCGGCGAGGGGGGCTACTCTTCATTGCGGTGCGTGGGCTTCTCATTGCAGTGGCTTCTCTCATTTTGGAGCATGGGCTCGAGGCGCGCAGGCTTAGTAGTTGTGGCACACGGGCTCAGTAGGTGTTGCTCGCGAGCGCTAGAGTGCAGGCTCAGTAGTTGTGGTGCATAGTTGCTTCGCAGCATGTGGGATCTTCCCTCACCAGGGACCGAACCCATGTCCCCTACATTGGCAGGCGGATTCTTAACCACTGTGCCACCAGGGAAGCCCCACCTTTAGACATTTTTAAAGTAACATTTAAAGCCAACCTGAAAGAGTATTATTTTGGAATTTTTGCCATTTAAGATAACATTTACATCTAAAAGAAAATCGTCCTCCAGAACTCAAAAAAAGGGATTTTCTCCCCCTAGGACCTTATAAACAATTAAGTTCTCAAGAAAAATTGAGAGAAATGATTTTTCAACAAAGAATTCTTTATCTTGCTAGATTATCAGTGCAACAAATACAGGTTTAGACACACTGGTTGAGCCTCAAAAAATGTACCTCCTACACACTCTATGTTCCACCACAGCAGAAGAGGAAATCAAGAATGAAGAATCTAGGCTACAGAAGTGACAAAGTAGATTCTCTGGATAAGGACAGGAAATGTCTGGGTGATAGCTGAGCAACATGCTTGGCAGAAAACCTTTCCACATTGGAGGACAGAGGGCTGTCTCCAGAAGTATTCCAGGGGTAAGAAATGACCTGATATTATATTGAAAATTATGAGATCCTTTCCAGAGTTACTGGAGAACATAGTAAGATCAAGTCAGAGGCTAGAAGAAAATGAGACCATTATTAACTTCTGGAATAACAAAAAAGTAACATAAAAAATAAATTCAACCATAGCAGGCTACTTGGTTTAGCGGTAAACAGAGTTTATAGTCATCAAAATGAAAATACCGAATTTGGGATGTATAAAGATTGAAATATTAATATATTAGAAAAATGGTGGAGTAAAATAAGTAAGCAAAATTTCTACTCTTTCTAGTAGGAAGTCAATAAATAATGGGCAGATCCAAAGGTAGCAGCAGATTCATTTTATTTGGAAATGTACATGTAAATTCTAAAACCACTACATGAGTTGAAAGAGAAAGTTTCCTTTGTGAATGTGAAAAAGGGATTACCTCTTTTTTGTCACAAGTGTTTTGGTACTATATGATTTTTTTAAACTATCTGCATATAATGTTGGAGGGTGGTGGGCAGCAGTAAGACAGAAAGAGACAACAGTTTTACATTAAAAAACAACCTCCAAATTCTCTAAGAAAAGTGAACATGATCACACCTAAATCCATCCATTCTGGGTTTTTTTTTTTAACAAATAATTTTATACAAAGGCTTGTGGGTCAATATTCATTTACAAAAATAAGTTTAGTCTTTTAACATAAGTACTTCCACAGTTTCAAAAAGAAATTCATTTTCATATTTGCATGTCTTTAAAAGTATCCAAAGGACTCATTACCCTTCTGCATTCTGCTTTTCAGAAAGTATTTTTGAGGTAGATCTGTTTCGGATTCTTTTTCTTTTTCTTTTCTTTTCAGAGGCAGATGAGTTTGTATCCTGTGTTTTTTTCTTTTTCTTCAAACAGCTAAGAGGATTAGGGCCACTTATTTTCTTGCGCTTTTTTTTTCTTCTCTGTTCAGGGTCTTTTACTAAACCCTGTTCCTCTTTGAGTTGCTTGATACTTTGTTTCTCTTGCCCTGAGACAAGCTGACCTGACTCTACTGCTTTAGCAAATGCAATTGTTTTTGGAGAAGGTTTGTCCAAGACTATAGTGTTCTGAATAATGAACATGAGAGGAATTCCAGGCTTTTTCTTTACTTTCATAGACAAATTCTGATCCTATTAAAAACAAAAATAGAACTATTTACTTCAAATATGTCAGTTGAATCAGATGCCTTAAAGAGATTTCTAAGAACTTAAAGTGGGCTATATTGAAAATAAAAGAGATCCCAGGTTTTACTTTTCAAATCAGTTAGGTCTTACTAATGGGAGTATATTTTATGATAAAGAAAGGAAGAAAAACATAAAAACTGACCACAGTTAAGTGGCAACAATGTGAATGGGATTTATCAATATTTTATATTGATCAATATTCTAAGACCATAAATTTTCTAGGACCTCGAATTACAAACTAATGCAAAGGTAAATATACTAGGTGATGTTCCTCATTTCTACTCTGAGGTATGTTTCAGAAAGGGTCAAGAATGCTCACAGAGGGCTTCCCTGGTGGCGCAGTGGTTGAGAGTCCGCCTGCCGATGCAGGGGACACGGGTTCGTGCCCCGGTCTGGGAAGATCCCACATGCCGCGGAGCGGCTGGGCCCGTGAGCCGTGGCCGCTGAGCCTGCGCGTCCGGAGCCTGTGCTCCGCAACGGGAGAGGCCACAACAGTGAGAGGCCCGTGTACCACAAAAAAAAAAAAAAAAAAGAATGCTCACAGAGATTGAAAGAATAGAAATAAAGTTGGAATTAGCTGATTCAGATTCTAGACTCAGCTCTGCTTCTAATTGTGTAATTTTATAATCCTACAAGCAAATTTAAGGAAATCTGTATGTGTGTGAGCTTATTCATTAATATTGACCCTGAGAGTCTCTCCTCCCCTGCTTCCCAGTCTTTAAAAGCCTGAAACAGTTCCATACTGGTGGTATAGTCTCAAACAATATGAAACACGACTTTCTAAGAAATAATATGAAACACGGGAATGTGAAAAAACATGCATAAACATAAAATGTAAAATCTTTGCTCTACTCCCCTTCCCTTCAAGAGCCCCAAAACATATCATCACATCTGTCAATAATTTTTATTTTACAAAAGGAAACTTCAGTAATTTAGAAGAAAATCATTATGCTTAATGTTCTCTCCTCAAATTCTGAAATGACAATTGCTTTCGTTGACTACAAATTAACCTGAAAGCATGCATTTTAAAAAGTTGAAACACTTAAAACCACTTCCACCTAATTTTTTCTAATGATAAATAGCTCCATATGGAGTATAAATAGAAATGATTAAGATTGACTCTGGTTTTAAAAGTGGTATCACCTGTGTTGCCACAAAATAATGGTGAGGATTCCCATCTTCCACCATGGAAAGCAGACATTCTGATCCACTCACTGAATTCTTGAAATGGGGACAGTTTCGAACCTGGCATTTTTGTGCAATCAGCTTTGCCCCATATAAGTCCTTTCCCAATGTTTCCAACTCTTTTAACACACACCTGAAAAAAAGAAGTTATTAGCAGCTCACAATTAGACGCATATCTGTTGTTCACATAAATTATAAAAAAAAATACCCAATTCTTCTTTTTAAACTACAAACCATACATTAAGCATTTCACTCTTAAAAGACCCGAAAAATGCATACACCAAGTAGAAGGAACATAATAAACAGTTAAAATGTACTGAGCATTTATGTGCAGGCAGCATGCTAACTGCCTTTACATAAATTCTCGCTTATCTCAAAACAGCCCTACAAAGTTGGGCAGCTTACTTTATTTTTTTCTACTTTTATTCTATTTATTTTTATTAATTTTTCTTGGAGTATGGTTGCTTTACAATGTTGTGTTAGCTCCCACTGCAAAAAATGAATCAGCCACACACATACAGATATCCCCTCCCTTCTGGACTTCCCTCCCATTCAGATTAGCACAGTGCATAAGGTAGAGATCCCTGTGCTATACAGTATGAGGGCAGCTTACTGTAAAATTATCCTTATTTTAGAACACCTCATTCTGAGAGATTTCAAGTAACATGCCCAAATTCAAACAACTAATAAGAGGTAGAGTTGAAATGTGAATCTAAGTAGTTTGACGATAGATGCTTTGGACCAACCACAGTGCTACAGGTTTCTCCTTCAAGTGCAAATCGGTGCACCTTCAGAATATTTTCAGCTTAGAAAAGTAAACATTCTCAAGTCACTGGCGTGTTTAAAAACAATCACAACTTTCTTTCACTTTGCATTTTCATATTAATATCAGGCAATGTTTTTCAAAGTGTCATCTATAAACTACCCCTATCGGAATGACACAGTGATATTAATTTCTAGCTCCTTTCTCATCCCCAAATCTGAACTCCTTGTGGAGTCAAACATTAGCATCTTAATAAGCTCCCCAGGAACTTCCTCTTAAACATTACGACGAGAACTACTGAGTCAAAGATTTCTCAACCTTAGCCAGCCCTTGCCTGATTCTACCTTGCCTCACCTGCTTTATCACACCATTAGTTTTTGATTTTTTTAAGAGATTTTGCTTCTAAAGTCATCCATTTTGAGTTTCAGGCCTAAATTGCCAACTACTTATTGAATATTTCTTGTGGATGGCCCGCCATCAGCTCTTTGTCAAATTCACGATGTCTAAAATCAAACTACTTTCCTGCCTCCAGACTTCTCCAGGGCTTGCTACCTCTTTGAATTTATTATCTTCTCAGATACTGTTTCGAAATCAGAAATCCTATTTAACCTTTGCTTCCTCACTCCTACCCCTGCCCCTACCCCATCAGTGGTAGTCCTATCTCAGCTGTTGGAATCTACCTCTGTAACGTCTCCTTGTGAAATTCCCACCTCTCCTCTCTCAGGTTCAGGCTCCCATTATTTCTTGACTAGACAACCACAAACAAAACGTGCATGTCTTCATTCTCTTGCTTCTTCTTCTTCTTCTTGCTCTTCATTCTCTTGCTTCTCCAACTTACCCCTCACATAGCTGCAGTTATCTTTTCTAGAAGATACTTATCAGGTCTGATAGCATTTATCTCTTGATACACACCAAGAATTGACAATAATATGCTTTAAAATAAACTAGCAGTAACTTATTCTTAAATGAATAAGAATGACCATGTTGGGACTGCCCTGGCGGTCCAGTGGTTAAGAATCCGCCTTCCAATGCAGGGGACGCAGGTTCCATCCCTGGTCAGGGAACTAAGATCCCACATGCTGCGGGGCAACTAAGCCCACGAGCCACAACTAGAGAGAAGCCTGCACGCCTCAACGAAAGATCCCACATGCTGCAACTAAGACCCACCCGAGGTAGCCAAAAAAAAGAATGGCCATGTAAATAATTGCAATAACTGGGTGACAGACGTTTCGTTATACTATTCTATTTTTGTGTATGTATAAAATATCCCATAAGTTAAAATAAATTCTTTAGGGGGAAAAATGCTGCAGAATATAATTTCATGCAGTACTTCTCAACCTTTTTTATATTACAGCCCTGTATTAAAAATGTTAATATTTCTATGGCAGACAGGGGTAAGTGGACAAGGCTTGTAGCCAGAAGCAATCAACTCTGGGGCACACACCATCTGAGAACTTGTCTGGGAGCTCTGAAGGAGATGGGGATCAAAACTTAGGGGGTAACTATGACCCATTTGAGGCTCTGCTTGAATGAAACCCACATTAAGTTCTGAATATAGAAAGCTGTTCATGGAGTAGTGTTATGTGAGAAAAGCAGGCCATTAATATCACATGCAGAGTAAGAGCCCATTCGTGTGTGTGTGTGTGTGTGTGTGTGTGTGTGTAAAGAACTGGATGATACACCACATGCTAACAGTGGTCAGTCACTGGTGTGGTATTATAGGTCATTTAAATTTTCTCTGTTCACTTTTTAAAGGAAATATTCTACAAAGGAAAAAAAAAAACAAAACTAAGTTTATGAATAGTAGTTCTTCATTATGCAGACTCAACTTATCTTCTTATCAGCTTCTTTCCCAAATATACGCTGTGCTCTAATCTCTTTCCCTGGCATTTCACAACTCCACTCCACTCCTTTGTTCAAGAGGTCCCTACAAGTCACTTCTCTTTTCTTTCACTCAAAAAATGTCCTTCCCCTCAGAACTGAACCGTGACTGGGCTCAAAAGTTATCTCCTCTGTGGAACCTTCCTTGATTCCATCTTTCCTCCAGTCAAGCCCCCAAGATTCCATCTTAGGTGTTTGAAGAAGTGAGGAAACTAGGGGTCAAAACACACCAATTAGAGGTTGATTTATGCACTTCGCTGGCCATACGGGCTGGGAGATCGTCCTGTTCACCAAGTTATCCTCTGCTAGAGCAGTGCTTGGCGTATGGCTGGTGCTCAATAAACACAGCTGAATAAACAAATGACCTTGCACAAAGTTAGGAAACATCGAGTCCTGACTTATCTTTCTGGGAATCGAAGATATTACATCATGGGGCAGTTGTGAAGTTTGAAAAATTCTTAAACTGGGAAAAGCTATGCAAACAACAAGCAATCACTTAGAGGATACAGGTCTGAGATACCAATAAACGCTCTACACCTCGTCCGACTTATAGGAAGTGTGTTAAGTAGTTACGAGCTTTTTTCTACAAATGAGTAATCCAAGGCTCAGAGAGGTTAAGTAACTTGTCCGAAATCACAAAGCTGGTAGAACTGGGCCCAATACTGGAAACCAGGTCGAACGGCAAAGCACGTGTTCTTAGCCTCCAGGTTAAGATGAATACTCGCCGTACCTTATACTGTCTATCTACTTGGTAGATACTCGCCCACCCTCCTTAGCGGTCCCGCTGAACTGTCAGCTCCGCGTGGGCGGCGCGCTTTGCCCCTCGAGGGCTCCCAATGGATGCCTGCGAGCAGCGGCCTCGCCTCTACCGCACCCGCGGGGCCCCCGCGCCTCCACCCGGACCAGCCAGGCCCACCTGGTGGTGCACAGCTGAATCTCCCCCATGAGGTAGCGGGGCAGCTGCTCCCGCAGCTGGATGCGGCCCCGCAAAGCCGCCTGACAGAAGGTGCCGTCCAGCAGGATCTGGTACGGCTCGCGGACCCCAAAATTGTTGCGGAAGAAGCCAAGATGCTTCTTGGCGTGTTTCTGCCTCGTGATCTTCATGCCTGGCTTTCCCGGAGCGAGCCACCGGACCAGAAAGCAGCAGCGAACTCCCCCCACACAGCCCGCTATCGGCAAGACGGGCTTCTCCCGGAAATGAAGAACCCTTGGCCCCGGAAGCAAACGCCCCATTTGTGGGCCTGGTTTACGTCACTCCCAAACGAGAGCGCGCTTTACCCGGTGCCCGCGCTTTAAGGGACACGCCCTCGGGGGCGGAGCTTGTCTGTAAGTGGGAAAATGACTAAGTGCTCGATTAGAGGCGCACATGCGCAGTCATGGTCCAGGTTAAAAAAAATACACACTGCCTCTTGCGCGTTACCTGGCACGGCGTCTGAAAAATCCACGGTATGATAATAATCAGTGAAAATATTGAGCCTTAATATGTCCTAGGCACTGTTCTAGGTAATATACCTTATATTTTCCCCTTTAATGTTAATAATTCTCAAATGAGGGAAGAAAGCGACCAAAGTATATTGGGCGACTATGATTGGGCAGGTTTGTAGTGATTGCCTTCCTATAAAGAAGTTAAGCACGTTTACTAAAGGCACGTGGTTCTTTAGTGTCAGAACTATCACCGGAACTCAGGTCGCCTGCCTGAAGTTCAAATATTCTTGCACTCCCCCTCACCTCCCGCACACATTCCCGCCATAGGACCACTCCCACTGAAGAGCCAAATGTCAGGGCAAAAAGTCCTCATCGTTTTGCATTTCCTCTTCTCCTGGAGACCATCCTAAATCACTCGCATGGAGTGTTTCCGGAAGACTTATTCAAGAACTTCGTTTTCCAAGAGTCAGTGTCCCTAAACTAGAGTGCTAATTCTGCCCCTCACCCAAGCCATTTGACCTTGAGCAACTCCCCAAGAAACGGGTTCAGCTTCCTCACTGTCAAATAGGTTGGCAGGACTAGATGACTTTTAAGAACGCTTTTTATGTCTATAGTCTCTGAGGTAGGAGAACGACATACTGGGCTACTAACAGGGAGGTACAAAGCTGACCGAAAGTTTAGAAATTACTTGCTCAACTTGATTAATGAAGAGAGTAAATCTGAAAATTTTGAGTTCCCCCGTGGCTAACTGCCACATATCCACTTCAATTCTAGGCAAAATAACCAAAGAATGGGGAGTATGGAATTTTGCATTTTTTCTTCTGGCCTGGAATCTGTCCCAAATCTCGTTTTAGCTAAAGATTGAGAGAAAGAACCAATGCAGAAAAATAACTTACAAAGTGATCGAGATGTGTTATTTGCATTTGGGGTTTTATTTGAAGATATAGATTTATGAAATTGGAACCAAAATCTTCTATAATGTTAACCCTGTCTTGATTCACAGCACAACACCCCTTAGATGACTGCTTTCATTTAACTGAAAATAAATTTAGGAATTGGAAGACATGAAGAGTTATTGTAGGATTGGATTTATGGTTCTTGAGTATAATTGCTCATGACCTTCCAATCTGAATACTCTCTTTATACCTGTGTGCCAACACCCCACTCTGACTATAATCCCGCCAAAGACAGAAAATATACTATCCCAGCCTTGCAAAACAGTTAAAACAGTTTTAAAAACAGGCTCACAGATTTATCTACCAGCTCCATCCTGTTAGCCACGTTTCACTACTAAGAAAAATGAGGTTCAGGACTAGGGATTTGAGTCATACTCTAGTTTTTTTGTGTTTTTTTTTTTAATTTACTAGACTGTAGCATTTTTTTCAAGCTCTATGTATATGACAGTGCTATTTACACAACTGACCCTTATTTCACAAATAAGAAGACAGTCTATACTGCTGATTATCAAATCTAAAACAGAATTTTCTGTTACAGCAGTGTTTCTCAAAACATGATCCTGGGACCTGCAGAAAAGTTCTTAGTGTGCTTGTTTAATATGCCCATTTCTGATTCAAAACAAGTACTGAGGGAGAGGGATACTAATCAGAGAGGAAGTGACATTTATTACAATATCCCCAAGTCATTTATTATGCATATTGGTGTTCCAGAAGGACTGTCTGCAGTAAAGCATCACTGTTTACCCAATGGGACATTTTCATTAAATGGTCCACTGAATACGTTTTGGCCTGATGCCAAATGACCTGGTATTGGAAAATCAATATTTGGCCACAACAAAAGGCAGAAGCCAAATATTGCCATTATTGGAGAAACTATTTGGTTATAAGTTTAAATCTGAAATTTTACTTTGAAAATTATTATAATATTATTAAAAATTTTTAATTAAAAATTTTTAATAGTCATTGAAAATTTTTTTGACCTTAGAGTCCAGGAACAGTAATGTCTCAGCATTGCTAGCTGCTATTTTTTTCCTCAGGTCAGTACACTGGATATTTTCCAGGCAAAATAGACATTCAGTTGAGGTAGGAGATTCATTTATTTTTCTTTATTTTTTCATACTCTTCATATTCTTTATTACATCTGGATCAAATATAATTTATAATATGATGTTGTTGTACATGATTTTGAAGTTCTTCCTTCATGAAATTTTGATGAAGCCAAGTTGACCTGAAAATGATTTATTCCTGCAAGGTATGACTAATTCCCAAACAAGAATTTTCATGAAAGATTCATGTCCTAAATGGAATTAAATAGGTAAATATTAAATACAATTCATAAAGGTTATTTTGTTTAATTTCATAAATACTAGTATACCAAATAATTCAGCAAAGATATCTATTGTGATATTATTCTGCCTTATATTCATATTTAAATATTTGTTAACATCTGTTAGCTCCAAAGGAATACAACATTTTCCCTAACGTTATCCAGCTAACATATTCTTTAAATAAATATTTTCCTGAAATAAATAATGTAAAACAACTTAGGTAAACTAGTTTGTATTGAGGACTTATTAGTCCTTCACTAAGATCCCCTAGGATAAACTCCATCTGGGACTTGCTTACTGTGAGTTTTTATATATAGGGGAAGGTGTTATGAAGGTTGGTTCTGGAGGCTGCCACGTTTTTAAAAGTCATCCTTACAGTTTTCAAATTAGAAAAATAACACATGCCTGTTATAACGAGAGGAACAATGGAACAACACAGGACATTCATCTACTCTTCCTTGCCCAAATAACACATGTTAACCTACTGTGTAACTTCTGTAATTTTTTAATATTCATATACTTATTTGCCTACATATATGCATACATATGTAGAGATTTTTGTCACTCTATGTTATTCAAAGATAGAATCGTATTTTATCACTTCTGTACATTTTGCTTTTCTTACCCAACAGTCCTTGTGGAAATCCTCTCCACACATACTCCAAGTCAGTTGGCATAGTTCTTATTCATTATTTTTAATGGCTGCTTGAAATTTCCCACAAAATCACCACATTTAACATAATGACTGTGACACAGACTGTAAATTGATGCTCAATATCTCTTCTCTTTAGTAATAGGATCCTAATTTTATTCTGGACAATAGTGTGCCCAGAAAAGAGAATCCATTTCCCAGCCTTCTGTGCAGTCAAGTACAGTCAAACGATTAAGTTTTAGCCAAGGGTATGTAAGTATAAGTGTGACAAGGGACTTCTGGGAAAGCTGCTTAAAGGAACTTAACTTGGTGATGAGCACTTTTTTTTTTTTCCATTGCCTTTCTAACCACTCCCTGGAATTTGGATGTGACGAAGGGAACCCTAGCAGTGTATTTTAGACCAAGAAGTAAACTTGAGGATGGAGGCCATGTGCTAAGACAGCAAAGTAGATAACAGAAGCAGCCTGGCCATCAATGACTACGAAACTACCTTTCCAAATCTAGACTTTCTACCTCTGGCCTTGTTTTACATGAGAAGAAAAATAAACTTCTATTTCAGTTTTAAAAAAATATTTTCTTTTTATTTTTTGAGACTATAGTTTTTAGAGCAGTATTAGGTTTACAACGAAATTGAAAAGAAGATATAGAGACTCCCCATGTAGCCCCTGCCTCCACACATGCATAGCCTCCCCCATTATCAGCATTACTCAGGACTTTGCTGGTAGTACAGTGGTTAAGAATCTGCCTGCCAATCCAGGGGACATGGGTTCGAGCCCTGGTCCGGGAAGATCCCATATGCTGTGGAGCTACTGAGCCCACATGCCACAACTATTGAAGCCCGTGCTCTGCAACAAGAGAACTCTGCGCATAGCCCCTGCTCTCTGCAACTAAAGAAAGCCTGTGTGCAGCAACGAAGACCCAATACAGCCATAAATAAATAATTCATTAAAAAAAAATCACTCACCAGAATGGTACATTTTTTTCAACCAAGAAGGAACCTACATTGATAAATTGTTTCTTTTATATGCAGCCAAACCCAATCTTAATTGACAGAGTATGTTAAAACTACTTGCCAGAATTAGAGAATTTTATATTGGCAGATGTTTTCAATAAAAGTTTGATGTTGGTTAGTGTTTGCCAATACAATTACCCTTTCTTTGAACAGGTTCAAAATCCTAGTTTATAAGTTTTGTGAAAGGTAAAAAACTTTTTCAAAGTAAAATAAACTAAATCCATTTTACATACTATAGAAGTTATCTTGACATTTGTTTCTTTTGAACATATAAACAATTTGATTTGAACTGAGAATGTCAGTGGGATATATCTCCTGTTTGGAAAAGTTAGTTAAATATGAAGAACCCCAGCTGCTTGGGCAAGAAACATCAAGGAAATGTTAGTGTCACCCAGTTGTCAATCAAAGAAAGCGAGCAGAATTTCTGTCTGTTGGCCCAGCTAGTACCAGTGGGCTCTTCCTTAAATGACAAAGGAGAAACTGTATCTTGGAAAAAAAATTCAAGGGATTGCTCTTTGTCAAGGATATTTCTAAGCAAGACAGTGATCAGGAAGTAGTTCACCATTGGTTATCAGATGACTGTTGTCAGATGGCTGCAAAATTAGACTAGCAAATTTGCTTGCTAAATAGTTTATTTGAATGAAATTATACAGAGAACAAATACTGCCATGTGAGGTAAGTTGAAAGGAATTTACTATTACACAATAGATCTGCATAGTGCTCTCCATTGGGATTTTACTACAAAATGTTCAGTGGCATTAATTGAAGTAGTAAAAACATACAATGGTAGAGAAAAAAGAAAAGTTAAGAAGTGGTAGCA